TCTCCAACGTTCCCGTTTCTTCACCGTCTTCCCTCTTTTCCCTCTCTTCCCTCCCTGCTCAGATCGGTGGAATCCGCTTCCTGTACGACAACCTGGTGGAGTCGGTGGAGCGGTTCGGCAGCACCGGCGGGTTCGGCTGCATCCTGGCTCACAGCATGGGCCTGGGCAAAACCCTGCAGGTCATCGCCTTCATCGATGTCCTGTTCAGGCACACCCAGGCTCACACCGTGCTCGCCATCGTACCTGTAAGCACCTTTCTGCTGACTATTGGAATACAAAAAAATGTGGATAGATTAGTGCTCAGATGTAGACACACACAAAATACATTTTTGATTGAATCAGAAGATGACTTAAAGGGGACTTATCATGCAAAATGCACTTTTTGATGTATTTTATACATAAATATGTGTCCCTGGTGAGTCAGGGAACTCATGCAGCATCAGAAAATAAAACCCTCTCTCTTTTCCTCCGTACCCAAATCTCTAAAAACGGGGGTACAACGGAGCTGATCCAGATTTGCGTTCGATATGACATAATATCGGAAATGTGGACCCACGGCACTATCAGAAAGTTGCTATCAGAAACAATGCCCGAATGTTTTGGATGTAATATGGTCGGTGTTTACATTAGCATCGCTAACACTCAGAGCTAACACTCTGTACTGGATAGAGCATGTGTGTGAAGAAGCAGGAAGTAAAAAGGAACTCACCTTGTGGTATAACCGGCAAGAGAGAAAGCCTTTGAGCTCCAGACTGTTTCAGAAATAATCCTTGATAATCCATGATATGGCGTTTCATCACGGCAGTATTTAGTTTAGACAGTAGCTGCCGGGTCCCGCATGAGCTCAGCCCCCTCCTTTTTTTTTTTAAAGCTTTATACCCAAAATCAGCACTTTTGAAACAGGAAGTGAAATAGAGGGATATGAGGCATGGCTAGAACGGGTGATTTGCACAATATTTCTGCCATTTTGCATTACTTTTATTGTCATAAAATAAGAAAATGGCAGGAATATTGCCATTTTTCTACCAAATATTAATTTTACATTTTTAAATAAATATTTAGTAAATAAAAAGAGATGCAGTTATATTCATCATTGGTTAAATTATCAATAGCTTTGTAGCCCATTGATTGTCACAAATAAAAAAGTCATTAATCATCTAAAAATGACTTACTTGATTAGAAGACATTTGTAAAGATGTAACAAATGCCTTTCTGGTGTTTTTACTTCTAAAAAGTAGAAATTGTGAAATTAAATTAGATTATTTCTATATTTTCCTCCCAGGTAAACACGCTGCAGAACTGGCTGGCAGAGTTCAACATGTGGGTCCCGCCCCCAGAGGCTTTACCTCGAGATAGCGACCCGGGATTGGTGACGCCGCGTGCCTTTAAGGTTCACATCCTCAACGACGAACACAAGTGAGTAACGGGAACATACGCTATCCCTAAATAATTTCACCCACCTGCTTTGTTTATATGTCGGAAAATGTTTAATTTATGAGAATTGGAGACTTTCAGTGCTCCATTGTTCACTGAAGAGAAGAAAGAAAGTGTTCATTTCAGGAGGCTGGATACAGTTCCATTCATCCAAAACACAGACTTTCCTTATCTCTTTCAAAAAAAGGCATCGCTGGCCTTGTGATCTGACCTGCGTCTGCAATCTATCCCCATCTGGCTCTTCCTCTCTTCCTCTTCTCCATCATCCTCTTTCTGGCCAGCTGCCTGTGCCGGAAACATTTCCTGACTCTCGCACGCATTGTGTGTGTTTCAGGATTAGAGAGGAAACGCTGTAAAATGAGAGCACAGTTTTTCGTAATACAGCCATGACTGAGAGCGACACATTAACCTCATTCTGTCTCAGTTCAAAATGATCTTAACAGCGTTGAAAATTAACAAAATTCACAAGCAATTATTCAACTGTTCAAGCAATACTCTACTCTACTAATATAAAAATGTTATTCATTCATAGTTAATTGGTAATTTATTTCAATTAGATGATTGATTACCATGTATTTTTTATCTGCCAAGCTTTTTTCCTCCTTTTTTCTTTTATACATATATTTTAAGCCACGACTGAGAATGCAAAACACACTATTGTCACAATTTACATTGTTTTCAACTGCGATGTTTTTTACATTTGAATAGTATTTAGTTGTTTACCTGTGTTTATCTTTCTGCATTGCTTTAGGGTTCATTTTGTGCAAAAATACAGTAAAGCAACATTAAAAAATAAGTGAAATCCTCTCTGTGACAGGAAGAATGAGGTCTGGATTGTTCCAAATGAACTTACCTTTCCTTATGTCACCCAGGAACACAGCGATCAGGGCCAAGGTGGTGGAGGACTGGGCTCAGGACGGAGGGGTGCTGCTGATGGGCTACGAGATGTACCGCCTCCTGTCGACGAAGAAGAGCTTTGTGGCTGGGAGGAAGAAGAAGAGCAAGAAAACAACGGGACCGGTGGTCATCAACCTGGACGAAGAGGACAGGCAGCAGGAACTGCTCAAAGGTAAGAGGGATGATAGGGACAGGGGGGAACAAGAGGGATTCAGAAGGAGAATGAATGTGCCAAAAAAAAAGCGTTTTTAAAGATACAGCTCCCTGTTCCTCCAGGTATCGAGCAGGCGCTGGCCCGGCCTGGTCCAGACCTTGTGATCTGTGACGAAGGCCATCGCATCAAGAACTGCCACGCCAGCACTTCACAGGCTCTGAAGAACATCCAGACGCTGCGCCGCGTGGTGCTGACCGGCTACCCGCTCCAGAACAACCTGATCGAGTACTGGTGCATGGTCGACTTCGTCAGACCCGACTTCTTAGGTATGGAGCAACGTCAGCGATTAGTTTCAGGTTTTTTTCCCATATCTTTCTGGGATAAGCATGTAAATGTTGGTCATCAAAATACTTTGGTTTTCTGGTAATCCTCTAATTTTTTACGATATTTATTTCAGGTACGCGGCAGGAGTTCAGTAACATGTTTGAACGTCCCATTCTGAACGGGCAGTGTGTGGACAGCACCCCTCAGGACGACCAGCTGATGAGGTACAGGACCCACGTCCTGCACAGCCTGCTGGAGGGCTTCGTACAGAGGTGAGCCCAATAAAAGACTACAGACATTTAACCCTCTTAGACCTGATATTCTTCACTTTTAGTAACATTCTAAACATTTTGACCTGTGTTGGTTCCAGGCGGGGTCACGACATCCTGAAGGACCAGCTGCCCTCCAAAGAGGAACATGTGATCCTGGTGCGTCTGTCTCCCCTGCAGAGGGCGCTCTACACAGAGTTCATGAACCGCTTCAGAGAGGCAGGCAACAGCGGCTGGCTCAGCCTCAACCCCCTGAAGGCGTTCGCCGTCTGCTGCAAGGTGAGGAACAGAACACTACCTGGATACGACCTCTATTTAACATCTATGGTTTAGCCTCCTTCAAACGAAGTCATTTTATTTAGCTGTTTTATATACTTGCTGCTCTTGTATTTTCATTTTATATTTTTTCACTTTTTATTTAAATAATTTATTTGGTTACTTAGTTTTGTGAATATTCATTAGTGACATTTATTGGACTGGCTTTTTTTTTCATGTGTTACTGAGGTAAAAATTGTCCATGAAAAAAATAAAACTTGATCCGTACTACCAGGTAGAAAGTATTCTGGAAAAAAATATAGCGAAGTCTTTTCATAAAAAATGACAAAATGTATCCTTAATTACAGGATCATTATTCAAAAATCACTGTGAAAATAGTTGTTTTCTTCTCTCTGAAGGCAGTCATTGTACTATAAGTTGCACAAGTTACCATTCAAGTCAACATGTTTTGGCACCAAAATGAATTCCTCTATATTTATCATACTTGGCAAATCCAGTGATTGCTACTTTGAGAGAGTTTTCACACCGCTGACTGTTTGTCGTTCTACAGATTTGGAACCATCCTGACGTGCTGTACGAGGCGTTACAGAAAGAAAACCTGGCCACTGACCAGGACCTGGACCTGGATGACATCACCACCACAGGTCCCTCCCAATGTACGACCGCAAGTAATCAAAAGTCCAAGCCCCTGGAGAGCCCCAACCCCATTGGTGGACTGAGCCTCAACCAGCTGCAGGAGAGGGCCAATCAGGTCATCACTTACGAATGGGTACGTTGATCTTATTCAGTATTTTAGCTTCCTTTTACACAAAAATGCTGATTTTCAGGTACACCTTTAACCCTAAATCTCAGTTGATGGTAAACAGAACATTGTGTTCCCCTGCCTGAGATACTGCTGACAGTCCAGTGCTGCCACCCACAGCAAAATGAAGAAAAATACAAAAATAATTATTTAACTACCCATTAATCCACACATCAAAGTATGTCATTTCTAAGCATTTAAGTCTGCAAAATGACATTTAGCGCTGCGTGGAGCATTACTTTTGTTTTTAAGATCACATTTGCTATGTTAAGCATTCAAATAAAGTTCATAGCTGTGGTTGTTATCTCATCCTGACTTATAAGGTGTGCAGAGCAGCTTTGTGAAATAAGGTCAACTATTCAGCTGAACTATGAATATAAAGGTGACATTTAATAGTACATTACATTTTAACAGTTGTCTTTCTCTTCACATGGCCAGGCAAAGGAGATCCTGTATGACTACAAGCCTGGCATCCTGGAGAACTCTGCCAAAATGGTGCTGCTGTTCCATCTGATCGAGGAGAGCGTCAGGAAGGGAGACAAAATCCTCGTCTTCAGGTACGAGACCAGACAAAACAAGAGCGTTTCAACTGGATAATTCAACATGTGTTACGCAAATGAAACTCAAAACTATAGCAGAAAAGATAACTCATTATGAACCTTCAAACTTCTTTCCGGCATGTGACCCAATCCGTAATGTTCCCAACCGTTTGTGTGCCTCCTGCAGTCAGAGTCTGTTCACGCTGACGGTGATTGAGGATTTCCTGGCTAAGAGACCTGTGCCTCCTTCACCCAACACCTCCAGCAGAGACAGACCAAACCAGAACTGGGTCCGCAACCACAACTACTACAGTAAGTCCTCAGAAATGATGATTAAAAATGATTTTCTCTTATTCAGTATTCATAAGGAGACAAGGTGAAAGGTTGTTTTGATCACAGTGACAGGTTAATTGAAAGATGGTCTAAATATGTGTCACAGTTTATTAACAGGGGTGCACATAACTTTTTTGCCCTGGTTCTCAAAGGAACACCTGGAGATGTTGCTTGGTGCGCATCCTTAAAATGAAATAAACCGGACCTTTTGAGGGGTACTTGACTTTATGAACGGGGGGGGGGGCGGGGGGGGGAGGTGCGCTAGTGAGCACGCTCATGAACTGTTCGCCCGTGCCTCGCAGCAGGGTTACTGTGCGGAGCGCATAAAGCAGACCCTTCATGCGATAGCGAGGGGTAGAGCTAGGGACCCGCCCAAGTAAAGTCTATGTAAGGGAAACCCTGCTATCTTACCAGTTCTTATGCAACTCGCAAATATCTCTCATCTCTCTATTCTCTCATCTCTCTTTTCTTTCTCTCTCTCAATGTTGGTGCGCAAATGCGCCTTTTTTCAAATTATCCGGTGCTTCTTTTTTGGCGGGGGGTGTGCATGCGCACCTGTTATGTGCAGCTGTTTATAAACCATGCTTAACTAATGGTGCATTCTATACTTTATATGTATATTTCTGACTGAGTGGTACTGCTCTCTCATTGACTTACAATGAGTGCTACCCTCTGCTGGTGATTCTTGATAACAGCCAGACTTTAGTCCGTAGTTCTCAAAGGATCAGACAGAAATTCACAGATTTTGTTTGTATGTTACAAGGATATCTAAAGAAATATCTTGTAAATACAGTCTTGGGAGAATGCATGTTTAACTAAAGTAAAAGGAGTGTTACATCCAACAGTGGGCTTTCAAAAATGTTGTTAGTAAAAGTACAAAAATAACATAATATACTTTGCAATGCTGCCTAGCTTGTTATTACCTCCATACACATTTCATTATGTTTTTACATTAGTAATTTGAATTAATGTCAAGTATCTAAAGCTTTTAAATAAATGTAATGTAGTACAAAGTGCAATATTTGCTTTTAAGATGTAGTGAAGTATAAGGAATTAGGTAGCCAGAAATGAAAATACTCAAAGTACAAGTAACTAAAATTGAACTTAAGTACAGTACTTACTAAATGTAACAAACTACCACTAGTACAATATTTGTTTTGTCCACCAAGCAAATTTTTCACCTTAAAGTAAAATGTGTTTAACTATGAACTAACTAAACGTTTTAATCTAAACTTGAATCCTCTACACACAAATGTTGTTTTATTACCTATTGATGACATTCATTAGGGACTCTTCTAACTCTCTGTTGTGTGATGTGTTCAAGGACTGGATGGAAGTACGGCGGCCTCAGAGAGAGAGAGACTTATAAACCAGTTCAACGATCCGGCCAACACCTCAGCGTGGGTCTTCCTGCTGTCCACCAGGTAAAACTCACCAACACAATCAAATCAATGGAAGAAAATAGAAGTAAAAGTTCAGGCAACAATATAACAATAACAAACATAACCTGATTTCTGTCAGGGCTGGTTGCCTGGGTGTGAACCTGATTGGGGCGAACCGGGTGGTGGTGTTCGATGCCTCCTGGAACCCCTGCCACGACGCCCAGGCCGTGTGCCGCGTCTACCGCTACGGTCAGAGGAAGCAGTGCCACATCTACCGGCTGGTGTGCGACTTCACGCTGGAGAAGAAGATCTACGACCGCCAGATCTCCAAGCAGGGCATGTCAGGTGAGTCGGAAAATGCATGGATGAGTTTGAATATGCCTTCAGTAGACAATTATTTCCTATTGTTCATACCAAAAACAGAATGGTATGGCGAAGTTTGTGAAATAATCCTTTCAGATTGGTGACCAATAAAAACATGATGCAATTGCAAAGGAACATAAAATGCTTTTGGTGCATTTTTTTTATTTGATATCCTGAGAGTCCTGGTCGCATCAACAGCACAAACACGTTATATGAACCATCACCGAAATACAAAAAAGGAGGAAAAATACATACAGATCAGAATGGAAATGATCAAACATGTTAAAACACAATAAGCTCAATCCATGTACATTCACTGCTGTTCGTAACCAGACTAAATATTCAGCTTTGCCTTGAAACTAGAGTTCTTCTGCCAAGAGCCTCTTGTCGGACAGAGTAAACGGTCTCAAGTGTTTGCTTTAAGCTTTGACTGGTAAGACATATTGAGGCTGCTTAGGCCTTGCAGAGCTGTAGGAATCAGCAACAGTTTTTCACAATTTGCTCCTTTTTTGACTTCTCTTCTGTCTTCCCTTTTTCCTTCTCTCCATCAGACCGGGTGGTGGATGACCTGAACCCTGTGCTGACCTTCACCAGGAGGGAAGTGGAGTCTCTTCTTCACTTCGTGGAGGAGGAGCCGGACCCCTCCCAGGTCCAGCTGCGGCCCGAGGACAGCATGGAGAGCGTGCTGAGGAAGGCTCTGCACCTCTATCCTCGCCAGATTACTAAGGTAGACACTCGTAAGATACTGAGAAAAAAACACTTTGTATTTTAGTCAATTTACTAAGAAAAAGTGTCATTTTCTATTCGACTGTAGCAAAAATGATTGACAACAAATCAAGTCATCATGGCTGTATTAATGAAAATGTTTGAATTCGTCAAACATCTCATTCATTATCCATCTGAGTTTAGAACTACCCTAAGTAGTTGCATTTGCACGTCCTTTTATATTCATAACACTGTTTTAAATAGCTCCCAATGATCTACAGTGTGAGAGGTTGTTGAGTCACCCACTGCATCCTTGCAGATGTTTTTCAGACTTAACTCTCGTAGTAAAAGACTGAGCCTATAATATTTCAAGCTTGCTTTGTGTGGCAAATAATCTCATTTGTCAGCATCCATGTGTTTATTTCAGCCCATTCACTGGCAAAAGCTAGTAAAAATGTAATTCATAATTACATTTTCACCTTCAAAACTAATTTAGCAGGTGAAGGCTTCCACATTGAAGCACAAAGACGGCATTGTGTTCCTCTGCTTCTTTTGAAAGTTTAAAAAAGATTGATATCTATCCTTAGATTACATTAATTTTATTCTTGTCAATCTTATTTATTCATTTTTCTTTGCTTTACTTATTTTCTATATAAAATACTATCCTGTCTCTTTTTTATCATCTAAATCTTTTGGTGCTCACTTATGGAAATTCTTACCGAATACGTGCTAAACATATAACGGTACCACTTTACAATAAGACTACCCTTATAAAGGGTTTATGAATAGTTTGTAATTCATTTATTAATTACGTTGTGAACACTTTATAAATCATTAATAAGCTTTTATAAGACATGAGATAAACAGGGCAACTGTGACCGGTTGCTTGCCAAATAGTGAACCCACATTTATCTATACTGCTAAGCCTTATATTGGCTACTTGGCTTACTTCGTCTTCTTCATCAGTCAGCATCCTTGGTATCTGTTGTTTTGAGTTGATTCTCCCCCCATCCTTCTTGATGTTTCTTGGCATCTCTCATGACCATCTATTGATGAGTCACTAACATTTATAACTACTGAAAGGGTGCGTTGTTTTTAAGTTTAATACACATGTCCATTTATGAATGAGTTATAACATTCACGCTTAACTAATACACATTTTTCACATGAAATGCAAAGTAAGATGCAAAAGAGCCAAGCAAAACCTTTTATTCACGCATGAAGAAAATTAGGACTCAAAGTAATGACTGTTTAGTATGACTGATACACATATTTAGCTTTTCTCAGACATACATTAAAGACTTGGTAAGACATAATGGTACTCAGACTGGAAAGGCTTTGTGTATATTCTTGAACAAGCGTCCAAGCAGTCCATCAGGGTGAGCAGAGCCAAGCCAAGATGACCATTCAAGAACCTAGAGGTGTTCCTCCAACAAACTCTCTGTACGGTTTCCTCTGCCATATTATTTGTAATATCTAAGTAATCATCTTGAAATATGACATTAATATTTGTAATATACACACATCTTATTGTGAGGTTAATTTCACATACACTACGCTGCTCTTCAACACTACTTTGACGTTAGCTTGTCTACATAATCGATTACATTACATTACATTGCATTTAGCTGACGCTTTTATCCAAAGCGACTTACAATAAGTACATTCGACCAGGAAGACACAACCTTGAAGAAAACAGAATCATATAAGTACATCAGGTTTCATAGAGCCAAACATTTCAAGTGCTACTCAACTGGCTTTAGATAAGCCAGCCCTTTATTAGTATATAAGTGCTTTGTTAATAAATCTATCGCTCGAAGTGGAGTCGAAAGAGATGAGTTTTCAGTCTGCGCCGGAAGATGTGCAAGCTATCTGCTGTCCTGATGTCAATGGGGAGCTCATTCCACCATCTTGGAGCCAGGATAGCAAACCCACGTGTTTTTGCTGATGGGAACTTGGGTCCCCCTCGCAGCGAGGGTGCAGCGAGCCGTTTGGTTGATGCAGAGCGTAGTGCACGTGCTGGGGTGTACGGTTTAACCATGTCCTGGATGTACGAAGGGCCAGATCCATTCGCAGCATGGTACGCAAGTACCAGTGTCTTGAAGTGGATTCTAGCAGTTAGATCATAGCGAATTTAAATTAACCTTAGCAATGCATAAAGTTACCTACCTAATAAAATATCTCTAACTTACAAGGATGACCTTATTTTACCAACCTCAAACAGAAGCCGTTTATTCTACAGTATTATCCCACTTAATGCTTAACATTTCTCTATTACGTTTTAACTTCGAGCTGATGTAAGCAAGCTTGCTTACATCAGGGCTGCCAACACTCACGCATTGAGCATGAGAGTCACGCAATTAACCCATATCTCACGCACTCACGCCACACATGCCTTTCCTCACGCTAAGTTTTCGTCCAAAATAAATGTATATAAAAATAAAGTGAAGGAACAGCAAACCGAGCGGTCTAAGAAATGAGACGGTCTTCTGGCTCAGTTCAGTAAAGTTGGAACGCTATTGGGAGATTCGGATTTCACGGATCAATAACTCATGAACAAAACGTTATTCAGACACAAATGACGTCTCCTAAGTACCGTGGTAAGGTTGACAACGAACTACAATCACATTTTGATAATTAAAAAAAAGCCAGTACGCGCTGGACACATTACATTGGTCTCTATCCGCAGCCGGAGAAGAAACGAGTGCTCATGGACCGTCTGCAAAGTGCAACTCCGAAAAAAGAGAATACAATAATATTAAATCACTATTATACAGCTTATTACTACCAAACTCACTACACACATCAATAGTCTCCTGGTGGTCATACTACAGCAAGGAGTTTGGAAGAATATGCTTTTGAATAATTTTGGGGAATATTTATAATGTAAAATCTTCAATAAATATGGCATCATCTTAAATAACTTTACTATTATACAGTATATTTCTACCAAACTCACTATTTGCATTGTTGTTGTTAGCATCTGGTTAGCTAGCTGCGCTAACGGATATTAGAAGCTGTTTCTAAAACAAGGAGAGGGAGCGCTCTCTCCTGTCAGACTGAGAGAGATAACTACAGCTCAGTGAGGTAAGGGACTCTCTGTTTAGATAGTTAACTTTAGTCTAGTTATCTCAGTGGGTCTCAAACGGTTTGGTCACCATTTATGAGAATAAATGAAAAACAGTTATGAAATACTATATGACAGTAAAACGATAGTTACGTATGTAACTACGGTTCTATGAATACTGGATGACCGCCAGAGGCGGTGCTTTAGCACTGGATATCTTCTGTCTCGCGCATGCGTAGGTCGAATATTTATATCAACAAAGTCACGTGTGACCTCGTACGACCCGGAAGGCATAAGTTCCGGTGCCGTCGACGAGTTCAGTCCTATGGAATCTTCTCGCAGAAACACGAAATTCCGAGTGACCAAGAACTCTGGCGGTCATCCAGTATTCATAGAACCGTAGTTACATACGTAACTATCGTTCTATTTCATACCTACTGACCGCCAGAGGCGGTGCTTTAGCACTGGATGACCTATACCAACAGAGTCACGAGGAAGTCTGAATACTCACCTTATAAGGATGGTCTAGGCGGACTCTGCAGGAGGACCACACCCAGCGGGTGAGGGGCGGCAACATTCACCCTGTAGAATCTGGCGAATGTGCTCGGAGATGCCCATGTGGCCGCAGCACATATGTCCTCCAGGGGCACACCTCTCAAGGTCGCCCATGACGTGGAGACACTCCTGGTAGAGTGGCACTTTACTCTGGGTGGCAAGGGACGGTCATTCGCCCTGTATGCCTGGGCAATGACGTCCACGATCCAGTGGGACAAGCGCTGTTTTGAGAGCGCATGGCCCTTTCTAGGACCACCGTAACATAAAAAGAGCTGGTCAGACTGACGCATGCCTGCGGTAGTCTGGACATAAGCTCTAAGGGCCCTCACCGGGCATAGGAGTCTTGACCTCTCTTCCCCTTCTCCTGATGGGGGGTCAAACCCTGCCAGCTGGATAGGCCGATTAAAGTGAGAGCGTGTCAGCACCTTAGGGAGGAACGCTATGTTCGGCCATAAGGTGACACCTGAGCCATCTGAGTTCCACCTCAGACACGAGCTGTTTACAGACAAGGCATGAAGCTCGCTTACACGCTTTGCTGAGGTGATGGCAAGAAGAAAAGCAGTCTTGGCTGAGAGCCACCTCAGTTCTGCCTCTAACAAGGGTTCAAAGGGAGGCGAACATAGGGCATCCAGCACCAAGGGCAGATCCCATGAAGGGGCCCTTGGGATGTTCGGGGGGCGAAGTCTCAGTGCTCCCCTTAAAAAGAGGGATACCAGTCTATGGCTCCCCACTGTACTGTTGTCAACCTTTGCATGTTGGGCTGATATAGCAGCCACATACACCCTGACGGTAGCGGGACACCGGCCGTCATCCAGGAGGGACTGTAGGAACTCAAGGATAGTAGGCACCGAGCAATGTACTGGGTCCTCATTTCGCCCTTGGCACCAGTCAGAGAACAGTTTCCACCTGTTTTCGTACTGTCTACGAGTAGATGGTGCCCTCGCATTGAGAATAGTCCTCCTGACAGGCTCTATGCAGTCGCTCAGCAGTGGGTCGGGCCCTCCAGTGGCCAGACCCACAGCTGGAGGCGGCAGGGGTCGGGGTGCCATATTTGACCCTCCAGCTGAGACAAGAGGTCCTTCCTGTTGGGGAGACGCCAAGGTGTCCCGCAACAGAGTCTGTGCAGCAGGGAGAACCAAGTCCTGGCTGGCCAGAAGGGGGCCACCAAAAGAAGCCTGTGGCCCTGATGAAGCACTCTGAGGAGTGTTGGTAGGATCAGAGGGAGGGGTGGATAGGCATAGAGAAGACACCCTGGCCATGAATGAGCCAGGGCGTCCTGACCCAAGGGGCTGGTTTTCTCGCTCAAGGAGAACCACAGGAGGCAGTGGGTCGACATCTTCGAGGCAAAGAGATCTACCTCTGCCCTGCCGAAGAGACCCCAGATGTTGGCCACCACCTCT